CTCCAAGATGAACAAGAGTTGTCAGTGTGATGAAATCATCAGCAAAGCTACCCACACTTTATCACGCATCAGCAGATTCATGACAAATACCACCAAGGGGGTGATACTTCCCTTCTATGTGGCATTGGTCAGACGGCAGTTGGAGTACTGCGTCCAGTTCTGCGGGCCGTACTTGAAGAAAGATGTTGATAGACTCGAGAGGGTCCAGAGGAAGCCACTTGTATGGTTAGGGGCTTACAGGACAAACCCTATGAGGAGAGACTGAGGGACTGGGATCTCTTCAGCCCCCACAAGAGAAGGTTGAGAGATGATCTTGTGGCTGCCTACAAATTCATTAGTGGGATGCAACAAGGGGTCAGAGATGCTCTGTTCACCAGGGTGCCTCGTGGGTTAACAAGGAACAATGGTCACAAACTGACAAAGTAGATTTAGGCTAGGTATCAGGAAAAAATTCTTCATGGTAAGGGTGGCCAAAACTTGGAATGGGCTTCCAAGGGAGGTGGTGCTCTCCCCTACCTTGGGGGTCTTTAAGAGAAGACTGGATAGGCATCTGGCTGGGGTCACCTAACCCCAGCACTCTTTCCTGTCTAGGTTGGGGGTTGGACTGAATGATCTGTTGAGGTCACTTCTGACCCTAGCATCTATGAATCTATGAACTTGTTTTGGATGCCATCTGTAATGCATGGGACATGATGAGGGAAGGCTGGAGTTGTGTACAGTGCTCCCTGGCATTGGGGCAGTAAATTGGGCAGCCTCCTGAATTTTACACCAGTTTTTGGAACAAGTCATGGTAGACGAGACTGGGCAGACTGCCCTAAAGAGACAGGTGGGCCCAGCCCTAAGTTGGCCCCCTGTCACAGTCTGCAAGCAGCCTAGGTGCCTATTTTGTGCCTAAGCTTCTAAGTTTCAGTAACATGGATGGGAGTTAGACACTTAAATATCTGCTGTTGAAGATTTGTGCCTACCTAATTCATCCTCCAATAGACCTCCAGGCACCAGGTGGTTGTACTATTTTAAAGTACAACCAAAACAACTGCGTCCAGTTTTGGGCTTCACAATTCAAAAAGGATGTGGAGAAGCTTGAGAGTGTGCAGAGGAGAGCCACATGCATGATCAAGGGTCAGGAAAACAGACCTTATGATGAGAGGCTGAAAGCCATGGGACTCTTCAGCCTGCAAAAGCACAGGCTCAGGGGTGATCTGGTGGCCACCTATAAGTTTATCAGGGGTGCTCACCAGGATCTGGGGGAACGTTTGTTCACCAGAGCACCCCAAGGGATGAGAAAATCAAATGGTCACAAACTCCTCCATGACCATTTCAGGCTGGACATAAGGAAGAACTTCTTTACTGTCCAAGCCCACAAGGTTTGGAATAGACTGTCGCCGGAGGTAGTTCCAGCACCTACTTTGAATGCCTTCAAGAGACAATTGGATGTTTATCTTGCTGGGATCCTATGATCCCTGCTGACTTCCTACCCTTGGGGCAGGGGGCTGGACTCCATTTTCCAAGGTCCCTTCCAGCCCTAATGTCTATGAAAGTCCATGAAAGATGGGAAAACCAAGTCAGCTAGGTTAAGACTTGCCTGCAACCCTATGGAGCCTGTGAAAATCACTTGAGCTTGTAGGGCTCCTAGTTTTGTGGTCCATGACAGGACCATAAGATTCATAAATCAAGGTACCTATTATTACATTATGCTGCAAAACACCATTTTTCCAAAGGAAACCACAACTTTAGTTACACCATGACACTGTTCATTTTAGAGAGGAATGTGTATGAAACCCAGAGATCTGAATCCTCCAACATAACTCTGGAGAAGTTCAAATCCCAACATTTGTGGCTTAAGACACTCTTTCTTACTTCACATTCAAATTAGTGGCTTACAATTGTTCACGTGGCAAAAATACAACTCTAATTCCAAATGCAGATCTGACTATAAAGAGCAAATCTTACCTTTTTCCAACAATGCTTAAGCCTAGTCCTCGCCCGGTTTTCTTTTGTAGATCTATATAGAAAATCTCCAAATTCTCTTCGTCCTTATACTGAGCTTCATCCCTATAAACCACCAGTTGTACCTTCTGAGGCGTCTGTCTCAAGGCTGTGATAGCTTCTTCATGACTAGCATTCCTCAAATCAATTCCATTCACCTGAAATAACCAAATAATCAGTTTTCTAAGGCACATAATAGTTGGCTTTTTGTCACCTCAGTATCTGAGTACTTCATAAGCAACATACTTATCTTTATAATGCTTCTATGTGGCAGGCCAAAATTCTCAAACTTGGGTGCTTCAGCACCATGCTTCAGTGGGCTGATTATCAGCTGTGCTGAGCACTTGTATTTCTTGTTGACTAACCTCTCTAAAAAAGATGCTACCAACGTCCACTACCCAATTTTAAGTGCTCTAATAAGAAAATTTTGGCCTAAATTACTTCCTTAGCATCTCAATGGCATCTGCAAGAGTCAACACTGCCACAGTGTTCTGTGCCAGTCCCGTTAACGTGCGGAGAGAGGTAGTTAGCTGTGTTAGTCTGAAGTCAAGCTGAAAGCTGGGCACCTTAAGCTTAGGCCTCTCTGAACGAGTTTGTGTCCAAGGTGCCACGCTGCCCTGCCTTCTGCCTAGCTTGAGGGGGAGGCATTCTTTATGAGGCAGCCTTGTCCTGGGTCCTCATGATTAAAAATGCTACCAATTGTGCAAAAAGGTGATTTTGTAGCATTCACTCTTGCCTACTGTAGCCACAATTAAAGAGCATTCACTTCGAACTATAAAACCACTCTCATCCTTCATTTTAGAGGTGGAAGTAATGCCTGATCCTCTGTACACATACTTCTCCAGCTTTTTCTTTGCTGTAAGTAATGCCTAAGTTTACTTTCCTTCCAAGATCACAACACTGACAAACAAAAAATATCCCACCTAAGTTGGCTGGGAACTGGACCATTTCTGTGGCGAGCATAATTTTCTCCAACTCTTACTAGCAGATTTCAGTATTTTCAAATGTAAATTTACAGAAAAATGATGATCTCAAAGCTAAAGGAGGCTGTTATGAGATGATTATTTTATTTTGTTCCAATAGATGGCACACAAGACCACTACTAGAGTTTTCAGTTAAACTTCTCTGAAAGTAGCATGAGAGCATTCTATTAATAATCAGGCCAAAAGTCAAGGCTGCAACAGTTATGAGCAAATTTGGAAGTATTAAAAAATTCTTGCAACTTAAAGGTCAGATTCCAGTTATAGCCAAATCTAGCATCTACAGCCTGAATGTATCTTCTGTTCTGTGCCTTAGTTTACCATCAACTATACAAAAAAAGCTCGGACATCAAAAACCAAAGATTTCATAGGGATCAGAAAATATTTAATAATATAATACTATAAATACAAAAATACAATGCAATAAATTAAAAAAAAAGAAAAAAAACCCCAATTTCTTGATATTTCTAACCATACGAAAACAATTTAGTCATCAATTATTTGAAATGTGTGAATTCTACATAGGATGAATATATTATGTATATGCTACATCACTGTATTTTTCTTTTCATGCGTCTGTATGAAACAGACTGAATTAGGCTTATCTGAAGTCAGCACTGTTGTACATTTGCCTCACCAGGTGAGCTTTAAAAGAAACAATTCATACAAAGATTATGACATCAAAAGATCTGCAGCTTTCTGATTAGCTGCTATAGAATTCATTAACCTTGTCCTTTTTTTTTTTTTTTTTTTAATACATG